AAAAACACAAAGTCCAACCCTTGGTTTGATTAAATTTATTAAGAATTGTAGTTGCCCTTTGTAAAGAAAGTGTCCAGTTTTCCTCCATAATTTGTTGTTTTTTTCGGATAATCTATAAATCAATATGTTCTTAAATTGCTCCAGTAAAATGGCCAAGTTGGAGGAACTGGAGGAGGTGGACCTGAGTGGAAACATGCTGAAGACTGTGCCCACCACCATCATGAATTGCCGGCGAATGCACACACTCATCGCCCACTCCAACTCCATCGAGGTCTTTCCCGAGGTCATGCAGCTGATGGAGATGAAAGTAAGACAGTAGTAGTAGCAACACATCTCCCTGCATATCTATTTACAGTTTATCTATGTACAGTGTCTGTTTGTTTGTTTGTTTGTTTGTTTATACTCACATCTCTTCCTCTCTGCTGTCAGTGTGTGGATCTGAGCTGTAACGAGCTGAGTGAGATCACTTTACCAGAGAACCTGCCTCCCAAGCTTCAAGAGCTGGATCTGACTGGAAACCCTCGACTCAACCTGGACCACAAGACCCTAGAACAACTCAAGTATGTTAATATTGCTTTGTCATCGGATTTCCATGGTAACAGTGTGTTTGTACAGTACAGTGTAACTCTGCTTTATCAGACCAAACCTGCATTTTTAGGGCGACTATTTTGTTCCCTTTTTCCCAACAATATATTTCCTACTACCTCTCTGTGTGTAATTGTATTTAAATGTATTAAACAAGGAGAACCTACAAGGTACAGTCATAAAACACAAAGCAATTACAGACACAGAATGTATTATTGTAAATATGCAGTTTTTTGCTTTTCTGTTGTAATGTTCAGGTCCCATCTGACTTCCATATTAACCCATTAACCCTGTTATGTTAACACCACCTTTCAACCGAGAGAATAGAAAAAGAGCCCAGAGTAGTAAGATGTCATTACAGTAGATCTTTATGCCGCTTTGTAAAACAGTGATTTTCACGATTTCTTGTTTGTCATTTTTCAGTAATATTCGCTGTTTCCGTATTGATCCGCCTCCAACCTTCTCCAATGAGGCATCTGGTGGGCCTGCTGTGTGGAGTCATGGTTACACAGAGGCCTCGGGCGTCAAAAACAAGTGAGTTCAATTCAGTCAATGATGGGTGGTGGTGGGGGGGGGGAGAAACACCCACTATCACTACCAGTCCGGTGAGGCCTCACTAATTCAAACCTCTTGGGATTCACATTGTTAAAGCCAGGTGACTCAGATGAAGGAAAACATTGAAGCGGTGCTTATTGAAAACATGAATCATGTATAATCACATGCCAAAAACATCTCTGTGCGAGCTGAATAGCCTATTCCACACACAAATGTGCACGCAGGAGAAACAGATTGCTCATACCGTTTCCATGTGATGTTCAATCAGCAAGTCTGCTTCGATGATGCAGATTCTGCTGTACGCTCAAATGCATCACAGAAGGCATTATATCTTCATGCTTTTTGAGTGTGTGGAGTAGTATGATCAATACGAGAACGGAAGATGTTCTCTCGGAAAGCTTTCTTTTTTTCAAACGGAGCAATGACTGTGTGTCCTCTCTTGTGTTTATTTGCAGACTGTGTGTTGCAGCTCTCTCGGTAAACAGTTTCTGCGGGAGTCGTGAGGCTCTGTACGGTGTGTTTGACGGGGACAGGAACGTTGAAGTGCCCTACCTGTTGCAGTGCACAATGAATGACGTGCTAGCCGAAGAGATCCACAAGACCAAGAGTGAAGAGGACTACATGACCAATACCTTCCTCGTCATGCAAAGGTATAACACATCTATTTTCTCACCGCTCTTTCTCTCACTCCTGACCTCGTTAATTGTTGATCTCTAGCACACACACGCACAATACTTCACACAGTTCATTGATAAAGACTGAAGTTTTTACGACTCTCCTCCTTTACTACAATAGAAAACTGGGAACTGCCGGGCAGAAACTGGGTGGCTCAGCTGCTCTGTGTCACATTCGCCATGACCCCACCGACCCCGGAGGCTGCTTCACCCTTACGGCTGCCAACGTGGGCAAGTGCCAGGCCATCCTGTGCCGCGATGGGAAGCCTTTATCGCTGTCACTTCTGCACAATGTGGGGCTGGAGGAGGAGTACCGCAGGATCAGGCAGCACAGGGCTATCATCACTGAGGTAAGATCCTTTCATACGTCCCTTATCACTGAGGTAAAGCATCCAGTACACATGCAAAACAACATGGTACATAAGATAGAAACTGCATAAGCCTTGTATTCATGTTTTCTTTCTTTCTTTTTTCACAGGACAACAAGGTGAATGGGGTGACAGATTCTACGCGGATCATGGGCTACTCCTTTCTCTACCCATCGGTCATCCCTTGTCCTTACGTGCAGACCGTCACTCTCACCCCCCAGGATGAGTTCTTCATTCTGGGGAGTCGGGGCCTGTGGGATGCTGTGTCACCCACCGAGGCTGTGGAGGCAGTCAGAAACGTCCCCGATGGCCTGTCTGCTGCGAAGAAGCTGTGCACGCTGGCACAGGGCTATGGTTGCACGGATAGCCTCAGCGCTGTTGTGGTCCAGCTCAGTGTGAGTGAGGACTGCTGCTCCTGCTGCTGTTCTGAGCCTCCCCAGCCTCCTCCCAGCCCTGGCTTGGGCCCTTACCCCCCGTCGTCCTCCGCCATCAAGGAGCGTCCCTCAGATGGCTCCCTGCCTGTGCCGCCATCCTCCTGCAGTGAGATCAGCAGCGAGATCAGCACCAGTGAGATGAGCAGCGAGGTAGGCTCCACCGCTTCATCCGATGAGCCCCCGCAGAGCTCCTTGGTGCTGCTGCATGAGCAGCCTCACCATCCTCACCTCCACCTGCACCACCAAGCCCACTCCATGTCCCTACAGCACCAGCAGGCCCAGGCACTGGCAAACACCCAGTCCTGCCAGTACCTGTACCCAGGTGCAGAGCTGCCTTCAGCCCGCAGCTGCTGTGCCCTCCATCCTGCCTGCTTGGCCAGCTCCTTCCAGAGGCAGCTCTCTAGCGCCACCTTCTCCAGTGCACTTTCCGACAACGGGCTCGACAGCGAGGATGAGGAGCCCATCGCTGGTGTTTTCTCGAACGGGAGCCGCGTTGAAGTAGAAGCAGACGTCCACTGCCTCAAAGCCGAGTCCTCCTCTCCAACACAAACCGCATTACCCTCATCCTCAAGCCAGGAGCACAACCTGCTCACTCTTCCACCTCCACCACCGCCATGCACCCCCGAGCCCCTGGAGGAAGGCGTTGACATGAGCCTGGCCGAGGAGATCGAGAGAGACGAGTCATGGCAGGGAGTTGGAGCTGGGGAAGGAGGAAAGTTAACTGGCAAGAGAAGGGTTAATGGGTCCGTGGCACAACAGGAAAAAAGTCACAACCTTATCGAGGTGGCTGCCGACGCTCCCTCTAAGAAGTCCGGGGGCTACTTTACAGCTCCAGCCCAACCTGACCCGGATGACCAGTTCATCATCCCGCCTGAGCTGGAGGAGGAGGTGAAGGAAATCATGAAGCAGCATCAGCAGAAACAGCAGAAGCCGCCAGGGAGCGATCAGCCCTCGGACTACTACGACACCCCACTCTGAACAACAACACCACCACCACTATCTACAGTCTCATCTCCTCCTAGCTGCAGCATGCACAGGAGCCCAAACTATTTTTCCACACAAAGAAATTAGTTCCCTCAGGAGGCTGTAAGACGCACATGAAAGGTTGATCATACTTTATTTTTTAAACAGCCTTCCTTTTGTCTACACATCCTCATCGATGAAGAACCATGCACTATAACTGGCTCCACCAGTTTTTACCCAGAAATCCATTGAACAAAACAAGCAAATGAGCCCTTTAATGATACTGAACCCTCTTGAAAAGCCTGTGGGTGCAGCTCCACAGCTGTGCCCTTCTCACAGACTGTGGAACGTTGTTTTTACATTAGACAACCAGCTGAGTATGTAATCAACACTAGTCTCTTTGCAATAGCATTAGCTCGCCACAACACTTGTTAATATGGATAACGATTCCATGGTTTGTTTGTTTGTTTTTTTAAAAACTGACCATATCTTTTAATGTGAAAGCAGTTGCTGAAAAGAACTTTTTAAAAACAGAGACACATAATCTTTTTATTATCAGTAAACTATGTCGAATGGTACACCAGTAATACCACACTTAACTGTTGTAGATAGGGCACTTTAAATACTGTATTTCTTCAGTAAATCATGGCTCTTGGCCTGTAAAAAGGCATAGAATTTTTTTGTAGAAATTTTGAATACTAACTCCTAGGAGTTGCATACTCTTTATGGTGACTCAGTCACTTTTACTAATCTTCTCTGAGAGAAATGGTGATTTTTTTTTCCCAATGATTGTAAATAAGAGAAATGTTGTATACTTATGCTTTTAAAGGAACTGCATACCTGTATGTCGGTGACGGTTTTAATGGTGGGGAGGCTGTTTGGTTCACCAAGAGTTTGCTGTAATGGAGGTGTCAACCCCCCCTCCCTCCCTCCCTCTATTCCTCTTTTTCTTTCAAAGTAGACCCACAAATACCACACACACACACACACACACATAAATACACCCATTAACATACAGATGTATATGTGCAATTGCAGCTCAGAAAAAACAACATTCCATGCAAAATAACGACACAAAGTTGCTATGGTTTGCTCCACTTTGATTGTGATGTCCTGTAGTCATCACTGTATCTAATAAACACACACACAGACAGATCTTTGCATGCACACACACACACACACACACACACACACACACACACACACACACACACACACACAGGCCCGCACGCACAAAAACGCATACATGGACACTGACACTTAATATTAGTCCCACCTCCCTCCTGAAGTAACTGTTCTCACCGGCATGACTGTGTCAAGTTCAGTAATACAAACAAATATATCCACATGGAAAAGAGACAACACAGATGTTCCTGTCTTTGGTATAATAAATTTTAAATTTGTGAATAAAAGTGCTGCTGTCTTGGATCTGATTTTAATAATCATTCTTTACTTGGTATTAAAACATTCATGTAAGACTTTAGAAGTTGGAAAGAGTTTATTTACATACTATAATCCTGGATTGCTGAAGTGTTTTTATGTAGAATGACCAGAAGGGGGCGATCTCATCTAATATTACAATCTACAGTTTGTCATGGCAGAATCTTGGAACTAAAGAGTTTAAAGCGTTACTACTTTAAAACCTGCTTTACATTGACATTTAATCATAGACATTGCACTGAAAAACAACGTATTTTCTTCATGCTGTATTTGGACATGTCAGTCTCCCACTACATCCTCTCACTGGTCATCACGTTTTCCATAATGACCCTGCTGTCGTTTCCTCGCTTCTTATACTTCTTCTTCACACAGACGACACTGACTGCCGTAATCAACAGCATCGCTCCGAGGACGGACAGAGAGGAGGCGAGTGCCAGGGTGGTTTTATCCTTGTTGGAGCCTTTGTGCTGACAGCTGCCCCCATAGTACCACCAGTCATCACCCACCACACACCTACAGAGCAGACGGAGAGGAGCAGAGGCAGAACAAAAGACATGAAGGGACTATACTGTAAAGCATACAGAGGGTGATGCAAACTTGGTGAATGTCAAACATTAGAAAGACTCAGCTTAATAGGATAGATGAGATAGAAAGTGATTCACTACTGAACCTAACTTTGAGCTTTAATGAGGCTCTAGATCAGATGTTTAGTGCTAAAGATCAACTATTTCATATTCCCGGCGGCAAAAACAAAAATTCAAAACATTAAGTCCCATGTTGCTCATTTAGAGTTGGGTTTAACACTCTTGTGTCTCGAATATAAAGATAATACCAGCAGGTGGTTAGCTTAGCACAGCACAAATAATAATAATAACAGAGGGGCAACAATTAAAACTGCTCTGTCCGGAAGTATCGGAGGTTGCGTGTACCGAGCCTGGGTCTGTTGAAGGTGGCAGTGCTTGTTGGGCTGTGACGCCCATGTAACTGTAGTAGAGTAGGTAAGATAAAAAAAAGTTGTACGTATGGGTGTGGTGGGTGTTTGGAGCCAGCATGGTGACTCTGAAGCTCACTGTCCGGCCTTCCTGAGGTGTCATGGCACTAATTGGACGAAAGACTGGTGAAGGGATGTTCCCTCTTCACAACCCCAATGATGACCTGGCTCTTGCTGTCCATCAGCCCATACACGGTAGAAGTGGCCATGTGGTAGGGTAGGTAGTATCGCCATTGTCACTACCTAGAGCTAACATCAACACAGCCTGGGCCTGTTTAAGATGGCAATGCTGTTTTGTTTGTGGTGTGAACTAAGGGCCATAGAAGAGGTTATGTAACTTGTCAGTAAGGCATAGGGGCATAATTGGGACGAGGGACGTCTTCACTGAGCGCTTATCTTTTCAGAAGGGCACAAGTATGTGTGTTTATTTCAAATAAAGCACCCTTTTAGTTTTGCCAATTATAACATCTGCATTAACTGAGTCCAGACAGACTACACACCTGCAAGCGGCCTTCCCCTCATCCACCACACAGACTCCGTCATTTAGACACTCCACATTGAGGCAGACTTCAGAGGGGGTTGTTGAATGGGGGGTTGTTGAAGGAGGGGTTGGGGTTGCGGAAGGCAGAGGCTGGGTCACTGTCAGATGAGACACATCTGAAGAGGAGCAGCAATGAGAAAGCTGTTAATTGAACCCGAGTGGAGGAGAAACATGAACATGTAATGAACAGGCAGTGATTGCATATGTTGTGTTTCTGATAAGTGGCTGTAGTAATTATGGATGTGGTCATGCATCACTGGCAGACATGATCCCACATATAGTACATGCTGCTTTGTAACACACTGATGTAGCTTGTAACCATAATGCAGGTCAAGATAAATATGCTTCCCCAAAATGAAAGCACTTATGGTAAGATTTGGGGCAACACTATTCTTTCTTATCTTAGATATGTTCCTTTTCGTCTGTAAAGCACTTTGGTCAGCTGAGGCTGTTTCTAACGTGCTAAACAAATAAACTTGACTTGGCTGAAGTTGATACTGAAATCCGTTGTTTTTACCCTCCATAGTGAGAAGAAAGATGGCATCTCCTCCCTTTATAAAGTCCCTGCTATTTGCTCTGAGGTGGGTTAGATACACTGCAGTCCCAGCACCTGGCCCTCTGAAATACTTGGACCCATCCGAATCTGTGATCTCAGTGCCCACCTTGCGAGGGTCGTCCCAGAAAAATAGGTCAGAGCCTGTTGAAAAAGGTTAGTATAACAGCAAAAAATATATATATTTGGTAAGTTGTTAAACATAAAACAACACATGATTTGAATCTTTTGGACACTGAATTTAGCTTTACCTGTCAGCTTCATGTTTGGGTCAGTTGTGACACTGCGCTGGTTAGACATGCGCTTTTGAATGTGTGGGTGCTGGTCCATAAGCATCATAGTCATCTGTTTCCAGGGGCACGGCCATTTCTGCCCAGTGTCCCTTTCCCGGGACACCAGGTGAGCGTATGTTGACAGCTCACCGGGGTACCCATCCATCCCGTTGGGATACAGCGTCATCTGGAAGCTGTAACCCTCCTTAGAGGTGAATGGGGGGCTGAAGATAGGTGTGTTTGTTGGCGTGCTGTCCATAACATGACTGAAGTTTTTCACACGCCACACAAACTCTGGGCAGGTGGTCTCAGAGAGGTTGATATCATCCAGGGAAAGTCCACCTACTGAGGGCCCGGGACCTGCCTTGGTCCCTTGAAAGACAACACGGAATTTCTTTTTGACATCTAAACTTACGTGGTGCAGCTGCCACAGCTCCTGAGGGGATCCTGTTAAAGCACATAAAGTAAAAAGAAGCAATCAACTCAACAGAAGGTCTAATATGGACAGATTTCACAAGCATGCATTGTGTAAGTAAATGTGAGGCAGTAGTAGTCACCATCTACGGTCTTTATTAAGCGCAGTTTTCCGTTGGGGTTATCACTGTCATACTCTCGGACATGTATCTTCAGAGTGTCAGTGGTGCCAGCGCTGTTGTAATAGAAGAACTGCAGACACTGGTATCCTCTTTTGGGGTAAAGGATCCTGCTCTCCAGCAGAGCCGTGTCCCCGTTGTTGGCCGTGCCAGTGTTAAAGTGCATGAAATACCCCGAGCCTACACAGACAAATTTCTCTTGGTTACCACATTTTTTTTACTGAGCAATGTTTCAAAGCAAATTGCACAGAGGAAATATGATATGGGCTATTTATGAAATACTGATCATTATTATGTAGGTTCAGCTGTTTTAAGTCTGTGTTGGAACATCCCTTGCAAGCACTGAAACAGTAAAATCCCAGACAATACTGGTCCATACTAGTTTTCCAGAGATTCCCTAACAATGAAGACTAAATGCGTCATGTGTGAAAAATAACAAAAAAGTTCTGGTATTAAAAGCTCAGAATTAACACTTGAGTAAGGAAACACAGACTGATGGCTCATATCAGCTTTGGTCGTGAACATTTCAGTGACCAAAGTTTGCAATAAAATGATAAAGAGTGTTGATTTGAGACACACTTTAAACCTTCATTGTGGAGATATGTACCTGCATCAAAATGTCATGTTTATTCCTGCTACATCCTCCTCCTCACCTGTGCATTTGCCCATGTTGGAGTAGTCAGTGTCGGGCCCTCCTGCAGCTTTGTCAACCCTGACCCAGTCGGCCTCATCCCCCTGACCCTGGATCATGCCGCAGATGTTTTCACGTTCAAAGTCACATGAGTCCAGGAAGGTGGATCCCTGTGCTACAAGGCGTCGCATGAACAAACAACACATAAGTGTAGAACTTTGCACTGCTATAAACTGAGACTTTTCTGCTTGTCCACGTTTTCATGTCACGAGAGTTTAAGTGATAAACGATCTAACTAAGATAACAAACTATTGAGAACAAGAACATTGGAGCACATTGACACTGCACTTAGATCTAGACAAGCAGCTTGGGTGTGGGTTGTTAATTCTTACTGCAGTTATAGAGGCGGTGCAGCTTGAGCAGGTCGCTGTCACTGAACTCCATCCGCTGGCCAATGACGTCGCTGAAAGCGGGGATCTTGGTGACAATGGTTGGCTCAGTGCCGTTGCGGAAGGCATTTTTGCTGTAGTGCATCATGGATCCGTAATCGTAGGGCACACCCAAAGAGCTAGAGGTGGTGTCATCGTAGGTGTTAAAGTTGTGTTCTTTACCTACAAATCAGACACAAATAAAAGGAGTTACTGAAATATTATACCTGTCACAATGTTTTTCTTAAAGCTCTAAAATTGAGGTTTTTTTTGAGAGAGATGATTGTTTGCAAAAAATACATTAGATTTTTTCTTAAATATATTAAGCACAGTAGCCCTGAGCAGACATGCAGCCATACATTATGTTTACTGGTTTTGTTTTCCCCTGATAGAGAGTCATTTCCAGTTGTTTTCCTGTGTCCTCAACTTGTTTATTTCCAATCCATCGAGAACTAGTTAACTAGAAGTAGGCTAGACTGACCTCATTAGTGGCAGTGTTATCATTGCATGTCCTGGTCTGGCCTTTCACAGTGATCAGCCGATTGTTTTTTTTGTTTTTTTCTTGGTCGTCAATAAATTATACCACTAGCACAGGAAAAATAGCTTTGTTATTTTGAGATAATGTGATCAACAAATGCATTATAACAGGAAAACCAGCGCTGCTAGTTCACAAGATAAATAAGTCAAGATCTCGTCAAAATAAATAATGGGAAATGGAGTTCATAAAATGTATAAATGCATGTCTGTTTAGGGCTTCCGCACTAAAAGGACTATGAAAAATATAACACATAGCCGTTACTATTCCATATTGTATAGGCGTAAACTAAGATGACAATTCATTTACATCTGAAGTTCCTTGGCTGGTCATAGTTTAAATGTACACATGAATGTGAAAAATAAAGAAAAAGATCTATACTATATAACACAAGGAACACACACACACACACACACACACACAGACACACACAGGATTTGAGGCACATAGGTGAGTGCAGCTAAGATACAAAGTCTGATACTTAAAGAACTATCGTATGCTTATCTCTCTCAGATTATGCGGGCAGGAAAAACAACACATGCTCATGCTTTACACACATGCAATAAGCCAATGGCTGCTTGAAGTGCTTTCCCTCATATCCCACATAATAAAAGCTCTTGATGTAAGACTTGTGAATTTGTGCCAAAGCTTGTTTAAATGCTACTTCACACTGCCTCTCAATCTAAGACATAAATACACACATGCAAATGCAAGCCATATAAAGCATGAATGGGCATGTGTTTCAGTTAATTAAAGTCCAGCAGTGAGAAGTTTAGTACCCTCAGAGATGCGGTCCCACATGATTTTGACGTAATCATCACGGTCTGATCTGGACTGCTCGTGCCAGAAACCCAGAGCATGAAGGAACTCATGTTCAATGGTGGCGATGCGGTCGCAGTTTCTCCCAATGGACAATCTCTGCTTCCCCACTTTCCGGTTTCCCACAGAGGAGAAACAGCTTTTAGAAAAAGGAAAGCAACATTTAAGGACGCATTGTCTTTGATGCACCTATAGATATAGTGTAGATTATCATGCTATGGTATACCTTTTTCCCGTCTTACCCGCTTCCTTTGAAGATGGATATGTAGTTTGCCTCTCCACTCCAAGGCTTGAAGTCGATGCAGGTCTTGAGCCGATATTGCTCAAAGGCCTTCAGTATTACACCTTTCGCATTGATCTCTGCAGAGAAGATGTTAATTAAGTTCATTTAAAGTCTGAAGAAATGTTTCTTCAAAATGCCCTTTTAAGTTGAAACATAATGCAGAGAAAGTTCATAAAGTCCTCTGTTGAATTATTAAAGCATGTTAAGCTTCAAGATACCCCCATAAGATTCATATATGTGGATCAAAGCATTGCATGTCAATGGCTGAATATCAAACATAAAGACTACGCCAGTGATGGTAATGTGTAACCTCTGATCCCTATTCTGACCCAGTCTGAGTCAAGTCTGATGTAATACAAGCTGATTAATAAACAGCAGACTCTGTCTATATGTTCTGGGTTATCCCCCTCTTGTGTTTTATTGGCACTGGTTTAAATCCCTCATCGTTTGAGGTCCTTCAGACCCCACTGAAACTTCCTTGGCCCACAGACTGAGCTTGACAATATATGCCAATTCAAATTGAATAATAGTTATCACACAACATGAATCATTATTTATTGCTCTCTTTTTTTACATTGGCTATGCATAAAATTTCCAAGTTAACCAATTTATCAAACAACAGTCCCACATAAAAAAAAGTAAAATAAACACAGTTAATGTGGTGCCTATTCAGAACTTAAAGAAAGCACCTGCATAAAAACACTGCATCTTTAAAAAAAAAAAGAGTACTCATTTTATCTATAGCAAACCATTAGAAAAATGTCAATTACAAGTTAAAGTCCAGAATATCAAGTTTGTAAGATCAAAATATTTGAAATTAACGTTCTTAACACATCAAAAGTAAAACAAAATGATAAATCGAAAGGCTACTGTCAGTATTATTTCATACCATTTCATTCCTATTGATGCCTTAAACACAACCTGAATATGTAACTAAGGTTGAAACTAAAGCTACAGGTGAATAAACCAGTTATTCATTCAGTTAATGTCGTTGAAATTTAATCAATTAGTAGATTACAGTTTTCTGCAAATGATGTGTGAAGCTCAAGAAAATGTTACCTAAAAAAGGGAAAGGCATTTTAACTTACTCTATTTTAGAGCTCTTTAAAAAAAAAGATAGAGTCAGAGCCAAATTGAGGAAATGTTGTTTTACTATGATAGTTTCATCAGTTTATAGAAGAATCCCAACAAAGAAACCAAATAATCTAAATCAAACATTTTATTTAAAAGAATAATTATAGCCAGTATTTTGAGGAATTAAGATGAATTTAGGGTTTTGTTCTGTTTTGTGTGGCACAACAACTAGTTTGTGATCTGCTTTGAACATATCTAGTAGAATTCTATGTTGATAGCTTTAAAAACAGACAAATATTAATTTCCAGGTGAACTTCTAGGAGACACTCTTACCTAAGTCATCCTCCATGTAGTATGGAATCGTCTTTGGCCACCTGTACTCATCCCCTATTATTGAATTGCGAGTTTGCTTCTCATCGAGCACGATATCTCCCTCCACAAGATTGAGCCCTGCCTCTGTGGACACCAAGCACAAAGGGAACTGTTATTCTGGAAACATGAGCAGAAAACATTTCTTTTGTTGTCCTCCTCTCTCTGAATACCTTCGTTGATGTCAAAGATGTCAAGGTCCCGCCCTCCGTCCACATCATAGTCTGTGTAAATGAAGAGACTTAAAAATTACAGCAAGGAAAAAAAGGTAGTGAAGTCAGTGTCTTGCTAGAAAAAATAAAACACCTACCTAATAGTTTGGCTGTGGGCTGCACAAAAGAGAATTAAAAATGTAAATGTCATGGGATTGCAAAAGTATTGACAAATTAATTTCCTGAAAACTAAAATGACAGTATCTTGTAACAATAATCCAACTTCTCACCATGCAGAGTGTAGAACCACAAAGGAAAATAACATGAAGAACAAGTACACCTGTAGGTTTTCTTGCTGCCATGTCCTGAAGCATTCCTTTACATGGGACAGTGACGGTGAAGGTGTACTGAGACACTCAGGTAGTAGAAATAACAGAGAGCACAAACAGGGTAACAAATAAACTACACGTGAGCCCAGGTTATCAATTAATAGAGCTGTAAATCGGTTAAGTTATACAACAATTTGAGTCCTCCGGTATCTGTTAACAACTCTTTACACATTTGTAGCTTATGCTGTAGTGACACACCAGGCCAGGAGGAGAAAGGGAAAAAAACAGTCATGCTTACCTGTATGTATAAGACAGAGGAACAAACACATGTGTGAGTAGCATTGCACTTGTATTGGGCCAATTTTTTAACAAGATACTCTGATTTTCTTTTTCAACCTTCTCTTACAGTTTGAATTAACTATACAGTCACCTTCAGTATTTCATTTTTCTTTTGACACATCTACCACTTTTATTGCTCCAATAAATAGAAATACATTTTCTCTCTTTAAAGATGGTTCCTAACTCTCTTGATTTTACAGTGCAGAAACATGAGGCAGCCTCCTGATATGCTTGGCCGGATGCATGTTGTTCTTAAGGCTCTTACAAGCAGTTCAAAGCTCAATACAAGTTGAGTTGATCTTTGTCATAAATAACCGTTACCATGGGTGTCACCGTGGGGAGGAAGTGGGGCCTCAAGGTAGTAGAGGCTACTTTTTTGCGGTACTAAAAAACACAATGTTTTCAATGTAAGGTGAGGGGCTGAATGAACTCACTACGTAGAGAAAAGTTTAAGGGACCAATCTGTGTCAATGAAATCAAATGTGAATAACTATATTGGAGGGCAAGGGACCCAATCAGTTATAATTAATGTTGCACATTAAAGGCAGGTTTTGTTCTGACTATTTTACCTATTTGAATAAATTGTGACACAGATTTCCAGTTGATGAGGTAATTTATGTCACAGCACAGCACCGACAGTGAATGCTGAAACCACTTCCCGCTGTAGGGTATATATCTCAATATATCAATTCAACTTTTAGATCCAGATATTTTGCACTAACTTTGTCGCCTCACCTGAACTGGCTTAAGTGATCTTCACAGGTTGATACATTTCAGGGCAGAGATAAAATAGCTTTTACTGTAAGACTGAATCTTATACCTTAAATAACCTGGGGGAGGCAGGAATCAAACCCTGGGCTGATGAAGAGAGCTTTAGATGGTTTATTGAGCGTTTTAAAATAAAAAAAAAGGAAGAACAAGGTGCTCATCTTCCGATCTGTAACTCTGATGTGATGCTGCTGTTTAGATCCTGCCAGTAGGTGCATGATGTTTGCGGTTATTTGCTTTTTCCACCAGATGCCTGCAGATGGCAGTAGTGATAGAAGTACCCCTCTTTTCATGATCATTATCTTTCAAGATAAAAATGAATACACAATAACAAGATTTAAGTTTTCAGTCAAACATTTTAGACCGTTCATGATGCACACATATAAATATTCACTGTTGCGTATTCTTCTCTGATCCATTTATTTGTTATTCATGCTCATCAAAAATAAAAGTAATCAAAACCAGATCAGGACGGTGATCCATCACGTGAGTTATATACGTTTTGCCCTGTAATGCATTGGCATAGTGCTATCTTACATAGAAAGGCTTTTAATGCTAAATTTCATAGTGCCCTTGAGGCCTGTGTAACTAGGACAAAGAAAAAGAAAACAATCAAGCACTGCTGCCACATCATATTAACCTTAAGTTGTTTGGTAGTGTCAGTTTTTAGGTCGGTGGTGATTACTTATTGATGTTTCCCGGCATCTGCTTTATATTACTTATAAGATGGACTCATGCAAAAGATGGAACTAATGGGGCTGAACTGATGCACTGCAGGCTCCGGCCAGATTTATCCTTTCTGTCGCTGACCACAAGAAGATGTTGTACAGGAATGCCAAGAATCTGCAAAATTCAAAAATATTAAAAGAAAACATTTAGATATACCATAATTCCCACAACACATGCTACTCTAAAAGTGGGGCGACTGTGGTTCATCCTCCAATCAGAGGATGGCGTTTCAATGTTGAAGTCTCACAGAGTCTCACAGCAAAATAAATAAATAAATCGGAAGGCCTTTAGCTTTGGATACTTTATAAATTCTGAGGTGATGCTTAACTTTTTGTTTAGATTAAGCAGACAGTGTTGTTTTAATTGCTTCCTGTTTTATCTGCCTCTCATATTATATTTTTTAATCATTCTTATTCAATTCAAATACACATTTATTGATCACATGCACAACATTTCACAGAGAATTCTACAATTCAATTCACTGAGCAGACACTTTCATCCAAAGCGACGTACATCAGATTGGACACACAGGTGCTGACAGGAAGTGACCAGAGGCAAAGCACAACAGTCACGGCAGTTCTTGAGAGCTCTAATCAGTATAGAAACCATCTTATAAGTCATCGTTATCAAACAAAAACAATCGTGACAACCATCATCATCATCAATAATAATATGGAGACCATCATTAAGTTAGTAGGTATTCATGAAAGAGCTGGGTCTTTAGCTTTTTCTTAAAGGTGCAGAGGGACTCTATCGAATGGAGTTTGGAAGTTCATTCCACCACCGGGGGGCAACAGAGGAGAAGAGTCTAGTCAGAGACTTAGGACCCTGTTGTGAAGGTTGTGAAGAGAAAGGCTTTTAGGTACCTGTCCAGCCACGGAAATATACACAGTTTCTACATTAATACATTTAAAAAATCTAAATCTAAAAACTCTCAAGAATAGGATAACATTTAATTAAAACAAAGTAAAATGTAGAGTGGAAAAGGGAAAGGTATATTGTATATGATCATTTATTTTTTTATTTTCCAATGTTGGATAGTGCACCAGCAGTATACATTAATGTAGATATACTGGAATTTTGTTCTAAATCATTATTATTATTATATTCAATATGGACACATTGTTACATTACAAGTAACGGACTTATTTTAAGATGCATGATAAAGAATACCTAGTTGTGCAAAGTAAAGTACTTAGTACATTAATCGCTGAAGTATGCAAGTTTGTCCTCTCTGGGTAAAGCTCAGGTTCAGGTGAGGCGTCTGATCTGTTACCTTATCTCATCTTGCCTCCACTGTGATACTCCAGCATGTTTGCACATGGAGTCATCTATTTATTGTTTAAATTTAGAAACTGTGGCAATTCAAGCAGACAACCTCCATGAACCATCATCACGGTTAGTAAGTGTATAAGCTTCAAGAGGGGGGAATATGACGTATGCCTTCAGGTTCTTCTGCTATCTTTAAAATATTAATTGGATATATAACGGAAGGGGGGGGGGGTTAATTGGAAGTGATTCACTGCTTTGCTATAGGTCCCTCTCCTATAATATGTACAGTTCATATCTAAAGGGATTTGTTCCTTATGTATGAAAGCCTCAGAATATGGTGAGTGCTTGTTATAGACTATTTGATATAAACATGAATGTTGAAGTTGCCCCCCAGCAGGAGAGCTGCATCACTTTACAACACAGTGAGGGGAAGTTGTACATTTTTCAGTGCAAACACACTTTGGACTACATTTACTTGAAGCTCCTGTGGTTTTGTAACAGACTGAAATTAATACTGATGCCTTTTATGACTCACAAAAGCAAATCAGACCATCAGCCAGAAGACCGACTGCTTCTGTCGTAATTTAAAATGTTGATTATCTCTGCCATCGATCGACGTCAGAAAGGGAAATGAACAACTTCTGAAATAGCCTTTGTTTACATGTTCCGTTGTACAGATTTACAATGAGGGGTATGAGCGGCTGTTAAGAGAAAGCTGCTAGGGACGTTTTGTCAGAAAACACTACTTCTGCATCCACAGGATAATATCAGCAAAGACCACTTTGTCCACAACGGTGGCCAAGATCGACACAAACTTAAAGTTTGTCACAGTAGTTTTAAGACATTTCTAAACCCAATACAATCAATGGAAAACCAAAGAAATTCAACTTCAAATAGAATAATTAAATCCTCATGAATGTTTTACATTATTATTATTATTATTATAATAATAATAATAATAATAATAATAATAATAATAATAATAATAATAATAATAATAAAAAGCAGAACAATGTGGCACTGGTGGCTTAGTGGTTAATTCATGTGCCCAATGAACAGAGGATACTGTTACGGTTTGGTGAGTAAAACAACGTGTAGAGGTGGACCCAAGTGCAGAATGAACTAAACATCTTTAATAAACAAAAAGGCAAACAGAAACTACTTCTAAGATCCAACAAAAAACACAGGGATCAAAAAACAGGTAGCCACAGAGCAGCACAAGCAAACACTGACAGACCAAGGACCGATATACCACCACATCCACATACATGCAACAATGAACTGACACAGAAGGGCAGAAACACAGAGACTAAATACACAGGGGAATCAGACACAGGTGAGACTAACAAGACACAGGTGAGGACAATCAGGGCAATCACACAGACAGGAATACAAGAAACACAGAGGACAACTATAAACTAAATCACAAAACACTAAACACTGAAAAACCAAACTAGAAAAAGACCAAATCATGACAGCTACAATCCTAAGAGGAGCCTGTGTTGGAATCTGACCTGTGGCTCCCTCACCGCCTTTCATTCCCCACTCTCTCTCTCTCTCCCTGATTTACGACTCCATCCATTGTCCCTGTGATAAAAGCATAAAAAACCCAAAATGAAAAGTAACACAACATATTTATCTTCTAAGACTCATTCTTTAACTCAAAAAAGAAGTCAGAGTCACAACTTAGGGCACAAACAAAAGCAAATGTGCGACATTTAAAATGCCTTTTGCTGAAATAAATCTCAGATAGGTGAATCTAACATAACTATGTTAGGCCAACTATGATTGGCTGATTGCCTCTGACAAGGCAATCTCCAAGTATTGTTTAAAACTTTGGGGTGTTACCTGGGGTAGCATATCAGATTGTAAGGGGGGTCAATACAATATTCTTTTGTCTTCATACTTTAAGTTAGTCAAAAAAAAAAAAAAATTCTAAATGCTATCAGGTTCCCCAGTGTTTGAACACAGTGAATTCATGAGCAGTAATACCAGCTGTGATGTTGCTCATC